GCAGAAATAAAAAGCACCATTATTCAACTAAAAAGCACTATCCAAATGCAGTACAAAAAGCTTATGGAACATTTGCTGAATTTTGTGAGGATTTTCTTTTTTGTTGTTTTGGGTTTTGAGGGGTTTTGTTTTGTAGGGGTTTTTTGTTTTGGATTTATTTTTTTTTTTTTTGGTCTGTGAAGTTCTCAGCACTGAGAAACAAAACTAAGGATCACAGAGGTATTGATTTCCAAGCACAGAGACACTGACACTGCCTGAAACTCTTGTTCACAACCTTCTCTTCACAAAATGGGCAATTATATTTAGATGCTTTAGGGTCCTTAATAGAACTTTTAAAAATGCCCTGTCTTGCTCACATCAAAAGCAACAGTTGAATAATGCATAGTCTTTTTAAAACCATTATTGGAAGCGACAATAGGTATCTGAGAATCCCACCAAGTGCTTTACAGGCACCCCCGTGCTATTCAAAACCCAGCTGTGACGTCGCAGGGAGGATGCTCTGGGCTGAAGGTACGAAGGTACCCGCGCTGCTTCCATCCGGCTCTGCACTAACCCCAGGGAGAACTCCGCCAAGGAAAGCTTACGACAGAAAGCAAGCACAAAGACTCCCTTCTCCACCCCAACAAACTACCTTGTGGTTCAACAGACCTTAAAAAAAAAGAACATTTACTGCCTAGATAATATCAAAACCTTGCAAAGGCAAAAAGCAAAGTTATGACACCTATTATAGCCTAGAAATGGATGAGAAATTATATATTACATTCAATTGTCTAATGCCTGTCATCACATATGGGTGAAATCATTATTCCAACATCCAAAGGATTTAAAAAATATACAAAAATTTTCTGTTTCAAGAAGTATGTTGTATCCCAGGCTGCATTGCAACAGCAAGGTTATTCATGTACAAAGTTCAAATCTTTACAAGAACACTGGACTTATGTTGCAGAGGTCAGAGATCCTGTCAGGAGGAATAACTGTCTTGCAGATTTAATCTTTTTAAATTATCTAAAATAAGTCTTCAAGCAGTCTACACAAAACAGACGAGTTAATCCAATCTGTAGTATATTATAAGTTTCCAATTTCATCTCTTGTGCCTGCTAATGTAATGATATAAACTTGGGCAGTGCAGAAATACAGAAAGTTGTTTGATTAACACAATTATTAACAGAACACCTGCACTTCCCTCAGGTGATAGAAACATTAAAAGAATAAATAATTGAAGAAAATTATCTCAGACCAATAAGGTTATGGCATACTGCAACAACTATTCAGTTTCAACAAAAGGTATTAAGCCTTAAAAGAAGACAACACAATAAGCAAATGGCTCCCTTAGTAACACAAGTAAAGTTACCTTCCACTTCATAATTAAATAAGCAAGTCTTTGAAACTTTTGTGACAACGTATCTGATTAAGTTAAAGAAATGAGCACACTCACTATTTATTCCATAATGTCTTTATAGAATGTTAAAATCAAATTGCATATTATGAGCACATGTTATATTACAATAAATCAGCACATATTAGAATACTTTGATAAATCTTATGAACATCACCAGCGAGATTTTTTTTTTTTCAGATTTCTTACAATCATTAACTTGCACTTGTCTTTGATATAATTCTGCTGACTGCATGGACTTAAAGTCAGAGGTAACTTAACTCATTATTTTTATTACATACTAGTTGGATAACAAGTATAACACGTAAAAATAGTATTTCCTAAACCCAACCAAATTCAGAAAAGTGTAAAGTTTGGCAGTTTATCCTGGAAAAATTCCAACACTTCACATGCCCTTCATATTCCTTCTTTACAAATTGTCAAATAACTTGCTTCCTAAAACTTCCAGGGCACTGAGATTCATAGCAGTAAGGTTTAAGCAGTAGAAAGAAACAGGCCCTTGGGATGATTATGTTTCTCACTTTTGCAAACGGCTGCATACTCAGTAGGAATCAATAGCAATGCAATTGCCAATTTCCACTTACAATACTGTTTTCAATAACATCAGCCAAATTTTTGATTCCCTGACTTGCATTAAAAAGATACTTTATTCAGCTACTTGTTCAGGTTCAGTCAATGGGAATAACCACAAACTTAATGTGCACATCTCAGTTGCTGTATATCTGCATAATTTATTGAAGTGGAGCCACCACAGACTTAAGATTTGGTCTCAAGTTCGAATCAACGTTAATAAATATAACAATAACAGTCTGAATAATACTGTGTCTTTATTGGATGCTCTCAAAGAGATTTCCACAAGTTATTCACCTTTACTTTCTAATATAGATCTGATATTGAACTACTGTACATCAGAACAGGACATAAACTTGCTTCATGTATCTCATGAGTATTCTGCTTCATCTCAAATATGCTCGGTTCCTGAGCTGAAAAAAACAGATAAAATTGCAGAAAGTATACCCTACTTCACTTGAATACGGTAAAGTTTTCCCACTTTGATATGATAAGATCAAGAAAATGTTTATGAAGACACATTCTTGGATTTCCTGCGTAAACAAGAAGTCTAAGTCGTACTTTACTACCTGATCAGCTGAATGTCCTGGCCAGTGAAGAGCAGCAGACCATGACTGTTGAAGGTGCAAAGTTCTAAAGCTAGGAAAATAATTTGAAATAAGACAAAGATACATCTGTAATAAAGCCAGGCTTTCCACAGGCCCTGCAGCTTCAAAAGACCAATCTTTAACAGATAATTAAAAAAGATAAATGAAGACATGCACACACAAACACACAAAATACAGAAATTTCATTTTTAAATTGGTAACCATGGGGAATACGGAGCTGCAGCAGCTTAGTGGAAAGTCATCGGCTGTAACAGCACTTCTTTTGACACAGCTTGCTAGAGAACAAGGTATTGCAAATAAGCCAGTGCTCATTGCTGGTGATACACTGGGACACTGCAAAACACCGCTCAAAGAATACTGAAAAATTACAATAGGTCACTACCAACCAACAGATGGAATACTGTAACTGTATGACACAACTTCTTATCAGACAATCCTATTAAACTGCTATCCTCCCCCTCCATCCTCCAACGAAATCTAACACTGCAGCAGGATTCTACAGATTTAGTCTTAAAAATCTACAGGGACAAAATTTTCCCTCAAAGATGAAGAACTGCAAGTGTGGTTTGTTTGGGGGGTTGTTTTCTGTAAAGATTTAATGTCTGTACTGCAATGAGAGTGGGAAATAGCCTACACTTCATAGCCTATTACAAAAAAAATCTGAATTCCAGTTTTGCAGAGTTAGAAGTTTATCTAATTTCCTTATTCCCAAGTTTTGATTGTAAATTTTTACTATTTATTTTCTTCCAGTTCACTGAAATTGTTGATAAAGCAATCATTGGAATTTTAGGTAAGAACTAATAAAAAAATATATTTTTTGAATTTTTATGGGCCGATTATTCAGCTGAGTAGTTGTTTTCAAATTTGGGGAGTCACAATGAACTCACCAGACAACATTTTTTGTAAAGCTACACCAGATCAAAGAGTAATCTTGCCTAATTTGCTGTTTCCAACAGTAGCTGGTAGCAAATAATCAAAAAATGCAAGAAAGGCATCATATGGAGTTATTGTATTTATAGACTTCCATGCATATGTCTTTTTTTCTACCCACAAACTTTGTCCAGGCTGAGTTTTACAAACGTTTACATATGTTCAGGATTTCAGAACTCGTTTCAGTCCATTAAGAGCAGAGATACGGCAGTTTCAGCAGTGTCGGGTGAGTGCACAGCACTTGCACAGACCAACTGCTCAGCATATGCACAAGTATTTTTCGCAGTTGCAGATAGACTATTTCTTTGTATCCATCACATATACTGGGTACACACAGCAAACTAAATGCGTTCAGGAAATACCACCTGCCCAATCCACATCTGCTTAAATTTTAATTACTTGCTGGTGTTAATTAGGGTGCTCAACGGGCTGGTCTCCAACCTGCCCAATTGGATTTCCCATGGTCTGAACCAACTGCCATAAATCTGCTGATTCCAAAATAAATTAAAAAAAATTCAAGTCCAAAAGAGGATAAATATTTATCAGGAGGTTAGAATATGTAAGTGAAACATTCTCATGGTGTAAACAGTTGTCTACATGCAGCTTAGTGCAGGACAGGATACAGAAGCACTTTAGGCTCT